AAAACAATTAAAACACTTCCTTTTCATCATATTATAATCAACATTTGGACAGAAGCAGTAAGCGACAAAGACAAGACATTCACTGTCTAAAACGGCTATAAAGAAGTACAACGTATTATTTTCTAAAATTTTACTATTTCTCCTACAGGAATACACCTTACTCCTCGAAATGCAACGCCGCGGCGGCAACCCGAACAACGTGATTTGCCCGCGGTTCCCGCGCGGGAAGAACGAAGGATGGTTCGCTACCCTCGGCACCGTGGAGTATGGTGAATTGCACGCCTTGAAGCGACTACCGGCTAGGGGCACCGCTCAGATCACGTTCTGCACTCCTTCGCAGAGAGGTAAGGATCAGTTTTAGTTGTAGTGTTAACACAAAATCTGTAGTGTAGTGATTTTAAACAATAGTGTTCTTGGGGCAATGCAATTTATGGATAGTCTACACAGTGGATTAATTAGTTATTGAGAGAAATGTAAAATATTGCCGATTTAAATCGATATTGATATCTCTATGTCAACGTGAAATAGTGAACTCTGTGAGTTTATAATATAACGCGTTAGATTGTAAAGTAACAGTGGGTTAGGTTAGGTTAGATTGTAATTTAACTACGTCAGATTATAATCTGACGGAATTCACAATTTTACGGTGACATCTATAAATCCATTACTGATGAGGAGGAGGGGGGAAAGCATATTCGATTCCTCGACAACACAACATTGTTCAATCGTAAATCGTACTTGGGCGACTCGCGATACACAACAATAAAAGAAAATAAATAAAAGTAAAATGCCCAGCCGACTTTTTTTAATTGCAGATTTTTGATCTATTTAACAAAAAATATTAGCCATGTCGAAATAAATTCACTAATCAATCACACTTTTTTTTTCAGGTCGTATAATTTATACAATCTACATATTGAGCGACAGTTACATGGGGCTTGACCAACAATATGACCTGCAGTTTGAAATCATGGATCCTTTACCACAGGAAAATATAGAGAAAGTATATGACAATATAGATAAGACCTTACTTGAGTAATATCATATTTTTATGCAATAAATTATTGTTATTAAAAAATCTTTTATATTAAATATGTAATCCTATTTATTTAATAATAGTCATTATTCCGAATAAATCTTTATTTATGTATTAAAAATACATAGACAGCTACACTTTTGTAGTCAATACAATACAACAATTTTTCAAAGCATTTTTAACAAAAATAGTCAATGGGGCTTTTTTATTTTCTTACTTTAAACACTAACAACATACAAGTACTTATACCCTTTAGTCTAACAAGTATTCTGCTTAAAGTTTCACCAAAATGAAAGTGATACATTCATTTTGGTGTAATAAACTTCAATTCACTACTACGAGGGCGGCACTGAAAATTTCGGGAATCAAGGAAGTGAAACAACATTACTATTTAAAAATGTATTTATTGCTTTTTAAAGTATTCTCCGCGAAATTTGACACATTTTTTCCATACACGAAACCAATCATTAAATGACCGTTTTGTAGGCGTCCACAGCTTCTTCAGGTGATGAAAATCTCTGACCACGCAATTTATTCTTTATTTTAGGGAAAGTATAGAAATCATTAGGGCTTAGGTCGGGGCTGTACGGCGGATGGACTAATAATTCTATGTTTTCTTGCTCTAAAAACTCTTTTGTTCAGTGCGCGGTGTGAGAACTCGCATTGTCGTGATGGAGGATGATGCGGCGGTTGCAGTTCTCTTTACGGAGTTCAGAAACGACCTGTGGCAAACAAATGCTAGCATACTAATCTGCATTAACCGTTCTTTGTCCCCCAAGAGGAATAGTCGCAACATGGCCGGTTTTGGAGACAAACGTGGCCACCATTTTTTTTGCAACACTCCGTGAACGAACAATTTTTGTTGGCTTTAATTCATTTTCGAACACCCAAACTCGTGACTGGTTTTTTGTTTCGGGTTCGTACGCGTATATCCAGGATTCGTCACCTGATACGATGTTGTATACAGCATTTGAGGATCCTGCATGTAATCTCCCGAGAGTTCTGACGCACCAAGTAACGCGAGCCGCTTTTTGCTCTTCACAGAGCGAATGCGGTATCCATCGGGAAAACAACTTTTTTACACCTAATTGTTCATGCAAGATTATTTGTATTTGACTCATGCCAATGTCTAAAGTTGCCTGAATTTCGCGGTACATCACATGTCGATCTTCTTCAATCAGCTTACGCACAGCATCAACGTTTTCTTAGTTGACTGCAGTTTTTGGACGACCTTGACGGGGATCATCACTGAACTTGACACGTCCACGTTGAAATTCAGGAAACCAACGATAAATTGTGGTTTTGGATGGGGCTTCATTACCAAATGCAGAAATCATCCGGTCAACACACTGTTTTTGTGTTAAACCACTTCAAAAGTCATAATAAATCATCGCTCTTGAATTTTCTCGAGTCAATTCCATTTTCTCAACGACTAAATAAGTTTGACAAGACCTTGTGATACGACCGTGAATCTTTTTTTAAATAAATAAATGGTATACGATTTTAAAAACCCTGGAGTTTGCAATTAAATAGATTTTAATATGACAGGAACAGTGGAAATATTCCATTCCCGATACTTTTAGTGCAGCCCTCGTACTTACAACATTTGAGAATATTTACACCAAACAGATAAGTTATAAACTACAAGTTCAGAGAAAATGCTATCACAAATGCAAGAGAACAGAGAAAACCAGATACATAAACATATTATTATAGCTAAGTTTCTAAATTATTCTGTTAGTAATTAATGCAATATTTATGAAATCTTAAGCTCTATTAATTACATTGACAAATTGCTTAGTAGACTGAAATGCTAATAGATTCTATACAAATGCATAAGGCATAAATGATCAAAGAGAAATGAATTACAGTTATCCAACCAATCAGTCAAATTATTTCTAGTGACTTCACTCTTATCGTCCTGTACATTTTCCGTTACATTAACATTCTTTGGTAAAACACTCAAACAATATCACATATTGTTGGAGCGTCGGCGTTATGCTATTTACGCTTTCTCTGCTCATACTCAATCGCACGCACTTCAGAAATGATTTGCCTTTCCCTTGTCAAAATACCATCAAGTTGTTCAGTGAATGCATCAAAGGAAAACTTTGTCTCGAATCTTTTACGGCCAGCTTCACCCAATCTCTCAACCAGATCTGGATTCAGTATTAACCTCTTCATTGCACTTGCAAATGACTCGCTGTTCGGTGAACATAAGAAACCGGTGACGTCATTCACAATAGTTTCAGTTGGGCCTCCACTGTTGACTGCAATGACTGGTTTACTGTAGTACATAGCTTCCAACGGTACGATACCAAAATGTTCATTAGACGGTGTGTAGACCAATGCTTTGCAGTTGTAAAGCAGAGAAACCTTTTCTACGTCTTTTGGAGACTTCATGAACGTCACTTTATCTTCAATGTCAAGTTCAGCAGCAAGGTCGGTCAGTTCAATGAAATGTTCCATGTTCTCCAGGTTGATTGGGTCAAAACCTCCTGCCATTATCAAATGCACACGATTCCAGTCAGCCTCACTTAGGTTATGTTTCAAGTACTCCAAGGCTCTCAATGCAAGCTGTAAATTCTTCTTCCTCTCATACCTATTTATTGACAAAAATATAAACTTATCTGTACCTACAGGTACCACTTCTTTCAAAGGCATTGGTTGAGTCATTTTGAAAAACTCAGTGTTTATAGATGGATAGCAAATGTCAGGAATGTCCTTGATCTTCTGAAACGCATCTTGGTAAACCCTGGCTGTATATTTGCTGTTGACCAGGACTTTGTCAGCTCGGGCCGTTGTGAACTCTTCCAACCAGTTCAGAGGAGCTCTATAAATCTTCTTGAGAATTCCACCATCAGAAGTAAGTAGTTTATCAGGGTGGTGGCAATAGAATACAACTCGAAAAGGTCCATGGGCCATCTTCAGAAATGGAATGCACAGAGATATCAGATCACAGAATATTAGAGTCGGCTCTTCAACCGGTATCACGTACCACGCCATGTAAATTGCCGCGTAGACCATACGAGCGTAAGCACATGCCGCTTTGAACCTCCCGAATATAGATCGCGGAATCCAGTCGCCGATAACGCTCACTGGGAACGTCCCATCTCTAGTTTCGGCAAAACAATGCGTAGGATCGTGGTGATTCGTGTAAAAAGCCACTTCATGGCCCTTTTTCTTGAAAGCCAATGCAGCATCCAGCACGAGGCGCTCTGCACCGCCGATCCCCAAATCGGGGTGGAGGAATATGATCTTCACCATAATGGTGCCACTTTGGAATATTTAGAAATCTTCGAAATTAGTCATTCACGTCCGGTTTCAAGAGTTAATTCAAAATTACGTGGATTGTTTTTATTCCGCACTGCTGTACATCAAATTTTTTTTTGACATTGCGGTGACATTGACAGATATTTCCGGTTTTGTAACGTGTTCCAGTGCGACAAAAAATTATAAATTTTGTTAAAATTACTAAAAACCTGTTATTCCCAGTTGTCCCCTTGGTCATCGCCCCCTCACAGGTTTGGGGGCAACTGGGAATTTGTAAAACAAAAATGTATAGCCTCCTCCACCTCCTGTATAAAGATTTAATTTTATTCATCGCTAGAAAGGTCCCGTTGTCCCCACGAAGGTGCTGTTTTTTTAAATTATGGCACTCAGTTTTTTATTCCATTTTGCATCTACTAGTACCTAGCAGAGATTCACCAAGTTTTATTATAGCATTAATGATAGGTCTTTGTATGTGCAGTATCGGTGCATAGTAAGATTAGTAAGGTAATACAATAAAACATCATGCTTTCACACATTGGAATGTATTCAAATAAAAAACTTATTACATGAAATCTCATGATGACTGCATCTTTCATAAGTTAAAATACTTTAACAATGTAAATTGAACAAATTCAATAACTTATGGATGTACCTAATACCTATATTTGTTCATTCAATGGCTACCATTGTGTAATGGTTTTTTTTTTATTTACAGTTCATCTTTTCTTTCAATCTTCACAAGGTCTACATGGAAAGTGAGAGTTGCAGACTTTGGTATTTTCGGTGGCGCTCCAGCTTCTCCGTACGCCAGTTCTGGAGGGATCACCAGCTTTCTTTGCTCTCCTTCGCACATTCCCATGAGGCCTTGGTCCCAGCCTCTGATGACTTGACCGGAGCCTAATGTGAATGTAAGAGGGTTTCCTCTAGGAATTGAACTGTCGAACTCAGTGCCATCCTCTAATGTGCCCTGGAATTTGCACATAAATGATATTTAGAACAGTTCTGATAGTAGGTATAAGTTATAATGTTGATGATGTTTCCAAAAGTAAAAACAAATTAGAAAGAAGAAAGCTTTACAGAAGCAACTTCCGAAGGTAAAATAAGTTTAATGTTCAGAACACGTCACTCATAAAGTATTGAATAGTTAAGAATTATTGAATGCAAATATTCATGGAAAATGGCAAATAATGTATTTAATTTATTTACCGTGTAATGCATATGTAGTAGATCTCCCTTTCTACTCTTAATAGGGCATTCGGTAGGACGTTTCTTCACTCCAATTTGCAATTTCTTTGGTGAAGATTGACCAAGAACAACATGTGATATGACGCTCATAAAAACTAACACAAATAGTAAAATTTTACAAATTTTTCCTACAACAGTTTTCATTTTTGGTATCAAAGAGTTAATTAAACTACGAAGTTAATTATTTCTTAGCAGTAATTTTATAAAATTGCTTGAAATTCTCTTCCAATTCGTCACAATTCGTAGTGTAAAATTTTATTATTTGAACGTTTGATTAGGTTGCTGTCAAAATTAGTGTTGTGATTTGATTAGTTCTTACCGGTTTATATCTTTTCCACCTATGTCAACTATGCTTTAATTTTTTTTTCTAATCTGTGATTAAAAAAAAATGTCAAATCGAGATAAAAAAAAATGATTTGTTTTGTCTGATTTGTTTGGTGTTTGTTGTGTAATTTACACCTTCAAAACAATTTTCAATAATTTAAATAAAGTCCCTAACTTCATTTAAGCTACTCTGACTGAATTTATTGGTACACATATTCATTGAAATAAAACTTTAGTTTTATGGGGATATTATAACCTAAAAACCTATATAGAAGTTAGATCCGCATAAAATGGCTACAAAAAGAACTCAACTAGAACATTACAGAAGATCTTTGTTAAATAGAGTGACAGCAAATGCATCATTCGTCGAATATATCGAGAACTGTCTATCAAGAGAAGATGAAGCTGCAAAGTATTCCTTTCATAAAGTTATGGTAATTACTATTTCCTTCCTTTGCATGAACTGACTGATGATAAGAAAGAGCACCTAAAACGTTCCCTTGCTTTCCCTATACCCCAATATCGCTCATGTCGTTTTCAACTACAATGAACTGTTACTACTGATCACTTCTTCAAATGTTATACAAATTTTACAGTAGTTTCAATAATTGTAATTAAATACGAAATATCCAATTCCAGGTACACAATTGGAGTGGCACAGAAGCACAGCTATTTGACACGCTCAGCGAGTATTGTAACACCGCTATAATACCAGTCATGTTCTCATCACAGAGTGAAATCACCTCCTTTTATACAAGCAGTCTTGGTCTTATACTGAGGCTGATTAAAGTTGATTTTATGTTTCCGTTCCAACGGAACATGTTTAACGTAGATATATTGTTTAACGATAAAAACTCTGTAGACTGCTTTCAGAACACTGTGACTATAGAGGATATTGTCTGTGGTGTGGTCAGTCGTAGATTTAGTGAAAAATGCGAGTTAGATCTTTCTAACTTCTGTAATGACCCTGGTAAGTCAAAAACATAGGTGATTTGTTGTTTCAATATTTTTTTTATTAATTAGGTACTTAATCAAAACCTGAATGAATTATGCACTGACTACTCATTTTATTTCTTTCAGAATTTGTGGAAAAGAAAATAAGTTTCTACAAAATAACACTGCTGTCACATTTCAAAATATTAATGTTAAGAATGGGAAGGGACACAAAGTCACTGATTTTGAGTGAGAATAATTTAAGGTATGAAGTTTAGACTACTGGCTTGGACCAATTAACTCAGAAACAAGAAATAATAAATCATTTACCTTCCCAGTAGAGGCTGCCATGTCCCATAAGTGTATTGTAATCTATTTTTTTATTTTTACAGTCAAGTACCATTGGATATTTTAAACTTCTTCATCAAAGGTGACCTCACTTCCATCAATTTAAGTAATAATAATGTGAGTAGAAACATTTTTAGACAGTACTTTTCTGTAAAAAAAAAAATGTAATAATTATGTAAATTAAAAATAAAACTTAAAAAAAACTTTATTTTTGTTCTAGATACCGTCACTGCAAGAGTTGTTCAGGATAAGTAGCAAAATCGAAAAGTTATGGCTGGAAGGGAATCCGCTCTGTGAAGACATAGATTCAATTGAATATATCAAAAATATTGCAATAAAATTCCCAAGATTGTCAGAATTAGTAAGTATCTGTATACTACAGTGACTGAAACTATTTCCTAGAAAATAATTTCAAGATTTCAAGTATTTTACTTCTCATTTCATATTTCATCACTAAAAATTATGGCGCAATTTCACTAGTCGATAGGGTCCGCATGCGGCGTGCGGGAGATTTCTGGAACGCAATGCCACAGAGCCCGCATTCAGGGAACCGTTTTCATTCGTCGATAGGATCCGCATGCGGAGTGCGAGAGATTTCTGGAACGCGTGCCACAGAGCCCGCAATCTGGGTGCGAAGTTTACAAAAAATTGAAACAGGCATGGCGCGTCAGAAATCTGAATGATGAATTTCATTGGTCGATAGCACGGTCGGTGCGGTGCGCGAAAGGCGATACGGTGTTGATCCCTTTTCGAGTTGATAAGTCTGCTATGAGTTTAAGTCTCAAAGTAAAATGGTATGAACAATATTTGATTTCTTCGTAAAAAAAAAACATTTTTCAGGATGGCATTAAAGTGAATCAACACGGATGGAGTTTTCCTTTCTTCAGGAACTACTTGTCTACACCAGACAAGAAAACCAAAATGGTGGTGGAAAAGTTTCTGGCCCTTTACTTCACTTATTACGATGACAAATCCAACAGGAAAATTGATTCCTTCTATGATATTGCAGCTGCTCTGACTATGATGTCAAATTTCACAGGTATTTATTATCCACATCTCAAACATAATTTTTATTTAAACAAGTTAAAGAAGAAGTGAAAAAGGTTTCAAAATCCCAAAAATCCAAAAGCAATTCAACAGAAGACCAGTCCCCTTGCAAGCGAAAGGTCATGCGTTCGATTTCCACCTTAGGCAGTTCAATTTTTTCAAGTTATTTTAAAAACTATCAGTTGTCTCAAAAAGCCTGCCTGTGAACAGTAAAAATAATAAAATATCATCACTTGGTTAAACTGCGAGATACTCCTTGAATAAAAAAATATCAACTGATGAAGAATTTAATTTCAGAGATAAGAAAAAAAATGAATTCATTTTTTCTTCATTCCAGAGGACGAAGAGCAAGAAATCCCGCAATATGGTCAATGCACGCGCAATATACTAAACCCGCAGAAGCGACGGTTTACATTATACAACCAAAAGATATACCGCGGTCGGCAAGCGGTCGTGAACCAGCTCGCCAACCTGCCGCCGTGTCAGCATGACCCTACTAGCTTCACTATTGACGTCACTTTACATAATGTACGTAACACGGACGCCAAGGTTGACTCTAGCATCTTATGTGGCTGTAATAAGTTATGTTTTCGAATAAAAAATAATTGTTGATACGACAACAAGTTTATTATCTAGAATTCTACTTCCAGCAGTGTCAGCATAGGCCTCCCTATCCCTACGATAAGAAAAATGCACTATATTTCAAAATATTGGCAATATAGTGCATATTTCAATATAGTGCAATGTTTAGTTGAGTCAAAAAGAAACAATAATCAATATAGTGCAAAATTGATCGAAAATATGACTAAAAAAATATAAAATCTTAAATTTTAATTACCTTTTGAGTGCATTTAATTGTTAAGTCTCACAGATTTTTTCTTTTCAGAACAAATCACTATTCCTTATAGTCGATGGAGTATACAGGGAAGAAAACCACAAGTCAATCAAACAGCCAGACTACCGTTACTACCAGTTCCGGAGGTCCTTCGTGTTCAAAGTTGAAGTTGTGAAGTCGAAGTATTCGTATTTTATTACGAACGAAATATTCAGCGTGACGTGGGCAAGCAAAGATGTAATTAAGGCTTGCTTTCAGGTAAAAACATGAGTATTATGCCACCGTAAGATTGTAAACTCCATCAGTATCAATTTAAAGTTATTGGTTCAAGTATTTTTTACAATGTAACATAACCTACCGTTAAATTATAATCTCACTGACGGAAATTCGTGAATTCAATTCCCGCCTTAGGCAGTCTTTTTGGCGATTTTTTCAAGTTGTTTATTTAAAAACTCACTGACGAACTTCACAATTTTACTTGCTATATTGCTACATATAAAAAAATGGGCAATAGTTATTTAGATATTTTCGATTACTAATGGTGCCATTTTTTTTATTTTCCAGAATCCTATCAGGAATTTGAACGACTTATGCCTGATATACCCAGACCCCGACGAATCGGAGGCTGTTATCAAAGCGTTCATGCACATCACGCATCTGAAGAAGTCTGAGGCGGAAGCGTAAGTTACACTCCATGTTAAAAGATTCCAAAAAACTTAAGAAATACAGTCCAGTCGTGCATCATACTATCGGCAGCTAGCTGCTTTCGGTCCGGATCCGTTCCTGAAAGTGTGCCGTCAAAATGTAGATGACGCTAACTTGGCGCTACCATAAAAGGGGTTGTTGTACCATTGTGTGGAGTTACTGTTGTGTTTATTTACTTGTATTCTTGTTGGAGTCATATGCAATACTTATTATGTGTGTTCTTTCTTATTTCAGACGGCTGAGAATTGAAAGTTGGGATATCAGGAATGCCCTAAAAGTATTTATGTCGCATTACCAAACCAATAAAATATCATTTGACAAGTTTATAGAGGACGATGATTTTTCAGACACATCATCACTGATTGACGATGATATTGATCATATTGACTGAATAAATTTTATTTCATAAAACTTTATTTATTTCCCCTTTTTTTCTGCTTAGGCCTTTGTGGCATTAAGTAGCATACCCTTGGGCCTTGTAACAAAAGCTTGGCTTGATTCACAGATATCATAGAGAAAAGTAATACATACAGATATGGATTAGAGGCTTGGATAAACATTAATTTTAATAAAACGTTAGGTCTTTTTGAAAAAAAAATTGATTCCATGTTAATTGGAATCAGTACTACAATCGATTTATTGAGATCACGATATTGGGGGGAATCTATACAAGTTACTCTATGGGGGAATCTATACAAGTTACTCTATGGGGGAATCTTAGAGCATCACTAGTGTTATTTTCTAACAGTTGCCTTCTTGATTGTCAATGTCATTTGTTGTGACAATGACAATTAATCACGTGTATTTTTCGTGTTGACTCCACAAAAATAATAAATACCATAAAAACAATTACTAAATACCTGCTAATTAACGATAATGTCTAGTAATTCATTAGGCCAAGGTGCGAACATGCCTACAATTGGAACTATAAATCAGGGTGCCATTCAGTACGTGAACAATCCGTTGCAAAGCCCACAACTGCAGTCTGCGTCTCTTCAAGGGTCTCCTTCTCAGCACAGCCCGATGGGAACTCAGGCTCAAGTTGGTTCTAAGATCGGCCAGAGTGGAGGAGGCGATCAAACTACTCAGGTAAATATTTTGGCGAACTTGGCGGTACTACAACCAATCCTTTCTCGCTAAAGAAAATTAGTGTACCTACGACTGTAATATCATGGTATTTTATTGTAGATTTACACACAAGAATACTTATTAAATTTATCATTTTACCCTAATTTTTAAAAAGGAAAATAAAAAAAATCAAAATCACCAGTATTTTTTGGCACTTAAAATGTATGACTGTAATATTATCATGGTATTATTATATTGTAGATAATCATGGAATTTGCTAAGTACTTATTCACCATAACTTGTGTAGTTTTTTTACTTTTACAACCCCCTTTTGCATCATTGAGTTCCGTTGGGCCTGACATACATTTTGTGCATTGACCTTCCTTTAAAAGGCACTTATAGAATTATCTTCCCAAATTGTAATTGTTTCTCAAAAAGCTCAATGAATTTTAAAGCACAAAACATTTGCAGTTGCTCAGTAGACCGCGTCTGCAAGAATTAGTTCGCGAAGTGGACCCAACAGTGCAGCTCGATGAAGAAGTTGAAGAGATGCTGCTACAGTTGGCCGATGACTTCATCGACACCACACTGAATGCAGCTTGTGCGATGGCTAAACATAGGCATGCTCCGTCTGTTGAGCTGAAAGACGTACAGTTACATTTAGGTAAGGATAAAGTTTTCTCTGTATTGCAACTCACTCAAGAATAGAATGAGGTTTGTGTTTGGTTGAAAAAGGAATTAATAGGTTTTATGCTTCTTTCTTGTGTATTTTACTGTCACATTGTGTGAATGCAATTAGTTCACTCTAGTTTTTAGGCTATCATGTGGTCTGTAAACTTTTCAAAATAGTTTAGGTACTAGTGTAGGTTAATTTAATCAAAGTTTATCCATTCTGAATGTTTGTAATTACAGAGAGACAGTGGAACATGTGGATACCAGGCTTCGGTAACGATGAGCTGCGACCGTACAAGAGAGCAGCTGTCACAGAGGCACACAAACAGCGGATGGCCCTTATTAGAAAAACGATCAAGAAATATTAAGTTCAGTAATTCACGTCCAATAATCTTATGATTTAGGTTTTTTTAAGTGAACTCATAATCTTAACGACTATTTGGTGAAGCTTTGGAACTTTTTTGTCCATGTGAAAAAAGTAAGTAGTACAAGTTTATTATTTTATGTATTATGTCTAATAATGTTTATTAAAATGTAGGTATCAGGTCTAAAAATATTTTCTATTTGTTCCACTGCCCTAACTTGTGATAATAATAAGATAGAATAAGTAAAAACTTCAATTTTTGTAATAAGAAAAAAGATATTGTAATAAACAAATCCAAAAAATTAAGCTAATTACTAATATCTTCAGTAATGATTACTATGACCAATGGTCAAAACTGACCTGTTGTAAAACCAATAATAAAACATCAAATTAAAGATACCTAGCTCTTTTTATTTTAGTTTGAAATAAAACACAACTTTTTAACACACAATTTATTTAATAATGTTAATGACATTGTATAATGGTGATGTGTTTAACATTGATTCACAACATTAAAATATGTCAAAACAATAATACAATAATAATCACATTGAAATCACAAAATAAAACAGTTACAATCTATGTAACCTAAGGCTTAAGTACCTTCAAATACTGTCAAATAATAAATCACAGATGATGATAGTGCCTTTAAAAACATTAAAATTTTAGTGCATAATCAATTTATACTTGGAATGTATACTTATAATTATAAAACTGGATCTGAAAGGATATTAATCGCTGTCAAATTGAATACCTACTAATACATTATAACATTTAGAAATACCATAATAGGTTTAAATACTGTTAAAATTCTAACCAAAACCATTGACTACTACACTATTTAAGTTACTTGCCTATTAGTTACTACATAAATGTTTTTAGGTCATGGCTATGCCACTAATCAAACGCTTCGAACCCGTGTGCTGTGGACAAACCAACTAGCTATCTGATAAGCTACAGCCACACTGTTTACATTGCATTTATGGATGTAGTGAAACAATATGCAATGTTCTGGTAATTTCTTCTTTTATTATTTTATTAATTAATACTAAACTGATCCAAATAACTCTTTTGATATTTAAATGTTAGAAAAAAATTGTTTTATAATAAATATTTAAACCTTTTTATCACTGGGTCCAAAATTTAATAACAGCGCTTCAAAACGTCCGAATTTTAAATCAAGATGCTTGTTTACAACAACAGATTTCATCCAAAAATTGGAGAAAATAATCGCCCCTCGGTTACCCTCGGCTAAAGAGCATGATGAGTAGGTAATTAATGTGTAAGTGTAGAATGGGATCAGTTATTACGCACACGCACGCACTTATATCATTCGAACACTTGATCAAACATAATATTACGCATTGAGGAATAGTTTTAATACGGAACTGCGTTTTCAATTTGTTGAATAACAGATTGTCTAATTTCTAGTTTCTGGTTTTTAAACCGCAACTATAATATTTTTTTTATATTAAAAAAAATCTTAAAGTAAATTTTTAGGAAATAATGTCAAACTTATAAAAAAATGTTACACACAATACACACCTTAGGAAAGTATCATCTTACTCACTCTTATTTGAATTGCTATTTTGTCAAATCATTTTACAAAAATTGAGATAACAAACATGTTAAGATAAAAAAATATTGGTGTAACGCTGACTAAGTAAATAGCTTGATTTATAACGTAAACAAAAAATCAAAATCATCAACTCAAAGAAAACCACAGGCACACCGTCACTTTACCAATTATTGCTCGAACTTGAGCCTTCATTTCACATACTATTTGGCAAGCATATACTGGGGATAATGCCATCTCTAATATAGGCCTAACCCAGCGGTGGGGTACAAAGGCTGATAAGAGAATCACAAATTCTTTGAGCGTAGAGGTTTTTCTGGCAGTTGTGTATCCGTTGAAAGTTTTTAAAAACAGGTAGGTATTCAAGATACCAAAAGATTATAGCGCATCTTTTGTTTTGTAAATACAAAATATAACAAACAGCGTTTGAACAGTGTTGGCATAAACTTTTCAAACTTTTTGTAGGCTCACGAATCCTTAAACTTATATTCTATGAGCCACGACAGAAATATACCTGTTTAATTTAATCAATTTTGTTTATAATCATACTAAATATTGTTTTAAACTTCATTCAGATATACAAGGTCAAATCGAATGGCTACCAATTTTTAACTAAAGTAAAATCCCACCAGAAAACTCCTACCACTCATAAGCAGTGATCCTTACTGATGCATGTGTCCTAAAAAGCGTGCTCTATTCGCTACAATCGCCTAAACAGCTGCCGCTTCCTCTTGATGCTTGTCCGGGATGTACAGATGGTCGGACGGGTCCAGTTTCTGCCAGTGCAGCGACTTGGACTTAATCGTCACTGGTTCCTGGAATAGAAAAGAAACGGTTAAAAATATTGCTTTTTTAACCCAAATTAAGGTCTAATGACAATGAAAATTATAAAAAAAATAACTTGCTTTTAAAAGGTTAAGTTTTTAAAATACAGCTTAATAAAGAGTTTTGAAGTGAATATCAGGTCAAGCTGCGGAACTTTGCGATTTAAATAGTGAAGTGCATGTTTCTGGATATTTTTTTCGAGAATGGCCTCATTATAATAATACATAGGCATAGACAATCGTTCGTTCGTTAGACATTTATTAATTTTATTCATTTAAAACTTAACCAAGCATTTCAAAACAATCTGAGACATTAAAATTTGATTTCCTTTTCAAACAAAGTATTTTCTTATTCATAAACAGAAAACTTGTAAAACAAGACTTAACTACGCGCCCCACTATATTGTTAGTTAAGAAATTGAAAAATAAAGCCATTCATAAATAATTTAAAACTATTAGTTGAACCTAATTTACAATTTAATTTTATTCCCTACTATGCGAATCGCAAATAATGTGTTGATCGAAGTGATTAAGTTGTATTATTAACTAAAATGATTGGAAACAATAAAATTGTGCTTACAAACTAATCAATAAATTCAAAAATAAAATACAAAATAGTAGGTTCCACCGAGATTTGAACTCGGATCGCTGGATTCAGAGTCCAGAGTGCTAACCATTACACCATGGAACCACTCGTGAGACTTGCCCAAAATATCCGCTAGATTGATTCGTATGTGCAGTCCAAATTATTTGTTGCTACTTTCGCAACAATGTTGAATCAAGACGTACGATTTACATCAAATACGGCTCTGAGTACGTGGTCGATAAATTCGACCCGGCTGCCAACCGGTTCCATGGTGTAATGGTTAGCACTCTGGACTTTGAATCCAGCGATCCGAGTTCAAATCTCGGTGGAACCTGATTTTTGTTTTTTCGTTTAACGTCTTTTTTTTTGTAAAATTAGAAAGCTTTTTTAATATTTTTTTTATTTCAGGCTGTCAAAAAAAACTTTTTTCTTAAATCGTATAGCCAGGTTAGGTTTATAAAATTTCATATTTGTCAGCATTGTTTACAAATAATGTTACGGAAATTAGTAAAACAAATAGATGTGAATTTATTGCGCAGTATAGTAGCCAATTTGCGTTATTTGAGCGCTAATAAATAAAACATTACGAAGACTTAAATTACTTATTTGTATTTGGCTTGATATTTTTTACAAGACATATTTGGCACGCAGCACGATTGCTGTTAAAAAGTCCACGGAAAAAGTCAGAAATTATACACTCTAAATCTGCGGATAAAGTCGCAGAAAAAAGTTGTCAACAAAAAATAATTCTTCCGGAAAAATAGGAATTGTAGTTATCCAACTTAACATTGTTATTGACAATAAATCAATACGGAGTTATTGATGTTGTTGATCTAATACTACGCAGTAATCAGTAGCATCGATAATGAAATACATAATCTGATAATCAAACAAAACAATGCTAGAATAAACTAAAGTCCTTTCGATAATCTTTGATAGTATTTATTTTTAGTTAAGATTGAGATGACTATAAAGCAATTTGATAGTACCTATTTATTTATTCGTTTAGATGACTGGCTATAAATAAAGTAATAAAAAGTCATTAACTTTTATGTGACCAGAAGGGATAGTTTATTACATCAGTTTCTACTACTGGACGAATGTTTTAGTTTTTATGAATATATAGCCTGACCAGGAACATAAAAACCCTGGCATAGAGGCGCTTCAATTGCATTTGATAGTGCAACACTGAGTACAGTCGTACCTGTGTTAAATTAATAGGCTAACTTTATGTTTCAGGATTCAGGATTACGGGATAATTTTATATTTTCATAAATTAACGAAAAAATATTATTATAGGTAACCTGGTTTAAATAAATTAAATGAAACCATCAATCGAACTAGTAGGATTTATTTTATTATTCATCAATAATCAAATTTAGAACTTGAATATTCAACTGCAATGTCTGCTCATGAACGCTTCAAACTCGGTACTTCTTTCCCAATTCCATAAAATTCAACTTTTAGAAAGTGACAAAAAACTTTAAAATAGGTAGTTGAAACAAACCACAGCTAATTTTCATAGTAGACTGTACTATACGATAAACATGTCAGTCAATTTGACAACCTTTATTGGAAACATTTTCAATGAAAATATTGTCCGAACCCTTGGCATTTCTCTTCGACAAATACTTTAACACAAGGATCAAATTTGCCTATGAAAATATATCTCATTAAAACACAATTATTATGATAAATTATTTTATTTCCATAGTATGCGTAATAAATAACTAAAAAGTCCTAAAATTATTATTAATTTCCCATATTTCGGGTAATTTTCCCACGTAAATAACTGAGAACACTGGTCTTTGACGTATTATTTTTTCGAGTGAATGACGTTTGATTTCAATTAATTTCAATATTTTAATGTCGGGAAATAAGTGATTGGATTATTATTTTGCCTGTGAAATGTGATTCCTTAATTTTTGTTTGTTCGAACAGAACGGTTTTTACACAATTTCATCACACAAGACATGTCGTATTCGTGTTGTTTTTTCGCTGCTTAAATCTGTCAACTGTGTGAAGTTTGCACTCGAAATGGTGTATCAGGGTGTGAACGTGTGCGTGCCGGCATATACGTACAGGCAAGCAGGTGTATCCTAATGTCACAGTATTTTGTTGATGAGAATCCGTCCGACTTTTTTTATAGGTCCATGTAATTAGCTACCAATATGTAAATCCTGACTACAAGGAGGAGGAGAACAGTGAAAATGAGAAGTGGAAAAAGTCCCATAGAATGTGAAGTCCCTACTCTGGTTATTTTTGTTCAACCTGTTATAGCTCCCAAGAACGTGTGAAGTTTCTGCCTAAAGCACTGCAGATTTTCAGTCTATACTTACCGATAAGTGTATTTTAATGATAAAATTACATTTTTAAGTGGACACTACCAGGGATTTACCTGCTTATCGTTAACGACGTTGGCAAATCTTATCTATGACTATTCTACACACCTACTCTTCTCGAATCTTAATTACAGACGGCGTAAAGTCTAGAATTAGTTAGCAAATTATCAGCTGAACTTGGCTACAAAGCTGATGACCGTAGATCAAGCGGAAACATTCCTAGAATTAAATTAGGATCCTAAATCTCTGGGAATAGTGCCAATAAGTCAACTTTGATGTGTCGTTAACTTAAATAATGTCCGGTTTTTAATTATTATCAATCTGAGGAGACGTCCCGTCTTAAGTACCTAGTCGCTTTCGTTGCCAACGGATCATTATCCCAGGCCTTACGAAACTCATATGATGACTAACACCACATGTCTCTACTATCACGTTTTTCTAGTGTGTTCACGCACTATACCGGAATTTTACTACATATAATAAAAATTCCCGGACATGTGACGAAACATAAATTAACACTAACTTTGATGCGCAACCGGCATAATACAATGACACCTCGCCATGATGACTCACTTATCTCCCCGAATTGACGATGTGGCCAGGAGAATACATATAAATGAAATGTTTATTGCACAATCGCCCTTATTTAAAACTCTACCATGCCACAGTGTTTCCCTTGAACGACGTGCCGGAGTCATGTAGGTATTTCTTTGGAAATAAGGAGCCAGGTGTTTCGTATTACCCATGGAAGTTATGTATGGCTTCATGGCACTCGCAAGGCGGGTGATTGTTTAGTAAACAAGTTTCAACGGCTGTCGTGACACGTGTTATAGATTTGCGATTATTGCTTCTATTGTTTCCTTCGCCAAACGAGGCGATCGTAGTAATCGTCTTGATAGAACACGTTCCAAACTCTAAACAATGCTTTGATTAAGTATTCAGATTAAATTGCCTTCTATCTATTGACTTCAGTTAAGCTTGTGAAGGTTAAATACTTAAATAGGTAAATCTTTGCAGCGATTTACCTAATAGAAAAATTCATCATCATTTGAAATCATTGTTTTGTTGATGGCAGCCATATGTTACGTAGCGAAGCTTACGTTACTTATGATCATGATAATACGAATCTTTTTTGTTTAAGCTGGCCAGACATTCAACGTTATTATCATCGTATAAAAATCATGATTCACACACAAAAACGGTGGAAAATTTTGAAACACTGATATCCACAAAAAAGAATCCGTTAAGACGACGAACTGCGGAACAAATTCGTTGTGGCAACAATCATTCTTGGTAAAAAAGACAAATAAATTGTCATTGCCAATGACAATAACTAAACCACGATTCGGTTCAGTGCTAAATGCTATTGATTGATCAGAAACGAATCATCAAAGAATCAAAAACATTTACCTATAGGACGAACATTTCCAGAAGTGTTTTTCCAGATCAAAGCCAAAAATAATTTAACGGAGTCTCGTGCATAACTGAACGCAGATGTTAAAATGTATTCTTGGCTAAAGTGGAATAATGATAATGAATGCATTCTTGGAAGTGGAACAGGTATTAAGAAAGATAACAGCTTTCGTGCCGTTACTTTACCTGAACAAATGCCGCATTGTTCGTGGTATAAAAAGCATAAAAGTCTTAAGAAAGTGTAGATCGGTATAATAAAGCTGCTATATTATAAACTAGCTTTCCGCCCGCAATTTATGGAACCCTATTTTTTCCAAAATATAATTTAGCCTATGTTACTCGTGGATAATGTAGCTTTCGAATGGTGAAAGAATTTTTTTAAACGGTCCAGTAGTTTTTGAGCCTATTCATTACAACCAAACAAACAAAGTTTTCCTTTTTATAATATTAGTGTAGAAGTGTAGATAAGAAAAGGACTTTCTTCTACTGTGCTACTATAGAGGCAAATTTCATCTGAAGGAACTGATAGAGATATTTGATAATATTCTCATTCATAAAATTCAGAGTAGGTAATTAGGTCTATTGGAAAAATAAATAGGATTCTTTTCATCCCGACTTTGAAGGGGAACATGAAAGACTTTCTGTTACAGAACGAAATTCATGCGGACAAAACCGCGCAATTGGCAAAAGTTTGTAATTTTCCACTCCAGCAAAAGAAACCGTTAAAAATGTTTACTGCTAAAAGTAAACAAACCTAGTCATTTCAAGCTTAATATGCCACCCTAGATTTCTGATCGATTACGCCATGTTATTTCGTCATAATTAGACACTGAGAAGTTGAGGGATAATTACAAAAAATTACAAACTTCCTTCTCTGTAATTTCTGTATTACATTATTAAATATTGCCAGAGCGACGTTCATTATCCATATAAAGTTGTCTTGCCAAGAAATAATTAAAATTTCTAACATTTCAGTCGAAATGCCTGCCAATAGTTTCTTTTTTGTCAATTTCTCAATTAGTTACAGTTGTAATGATTTTCTTTAGTAATGTTTTCAATACAAAAGAAAATTATTTCCCAAGTTTCATTAATTGACTTTTTCTAATTCAAGTAACGTACTCGATGCGTAGTATAATAATTACGACCGTAACGACTGTAAATTTTCTTGCCTATTCATTGAGTTATAATGTACTACGTACTAGAGAAGACATGTCAACTAGACTGTTTCTGGCACGCAAACAGGTCCATGGACCGAAATTCAATTAGTATGTGCTCAGCGGTTGCTGTGACAACACGCTTGAGTGCAGTTTTGTTTTTTGAAATATGCCATCCTATAGACGAAAATACTGTTCAAATAACCCCAGATACATATTAAGTAAAAATCAAGGAATGACTTTTTACCATTAAGTTGTACATTTATGCACTTAAAACACTAATTTAATTTTAATTTGTTAATTACAAGGCGTCACCGCGGCGGCAGCCATTTTACGAAAATTTAAAAGAATAAAAATCGCAGACTTGACACTGACGCATAAATTAGTATACGAAAGGAAGGTTAAATACAGCAATAAAAAGATTTTTTTTAGATTATAAGCACTTTGTATTGCACAAATTACTAATAGTCCCGTCCAGCCCCTAGTGTTAAGCTAAATAAGCTTGGGTTACGGGTGGGCTCACACAATAGTCGTGCGGCATCATGGATCAGTGAGATTGTTTGAATCTCACTGCTGTTGTTCGTATGCGACTGGTTAGTTAGTAAATCACCCTAATTATTGACACCTAGCTCACGAGATAGGCTAAAATTATAATAATTGTACAGTGTGTCTGGTCACCAGTGTCCGACCCGTTAGGGCGCAATAATATGATCAATTTAATCGACAAATCAGAGTGAAGTAACTAACACCAAAAAACGGCAGAGCGAAGTGATTTCGAATGTTTCAACTGCTACGTTTTGTCACTTGTCTAGGAGGGCTAATTTTAGTCTAAGGAAGGGGAGCTTAGATTACGTTACAGGAAACGCACAATATAATAAAAGAATATAATGTAAGTAGCTGAACCTTTTTGCTATTGAGCACCATGAAAATTTAACACAATTTAGCCGATTTGTTTATTTTCACAATCGATTCACAATGTCTATGATGAGGCGACCGCAGGAACGTCACTATTCGTGCAATCCTATCAATGAAGTACGACATTTTCTGGTGCAGATTTTATCGCCATAAATTATGAAACTTGATAGTCATGGATTTGACTGACAGCTGTCCGTCAAATTCCCGCCCCGCACTGTACATATTTTGTTCGCGATGTCTGTTCTATACGTAGTAATATTACTTCAATGTGCCTATTTAGAAATAAATCATTTTAAGTCTCATTCTAGACTTAGACAACAGTTGCTAATAGTACTAATAAAAAACTTAGCACCAAAGTGTTACTGCTCTGTCACAAGTAATTTATTTAGCACAATGTATTCTTATCCTTGAGCTGTATTGATTTTAGATCCACCGGCAGTCTATTTTAAGCCCTGTTTAAGCAATATGGTGATACGTTTAACCGTCGAGGTGAACGATCGTGAGTATATCCCCAAATTCCTGTAGCCTGGTGAATCGCAAATCTAGAATAATCTAAATGTGACATGATGTAGTCAAGTAACAACCAAGGCCATCGCTATCGATTTTCTTGGCTAACTTTTACGCGTTATTATTGCCTTGACTCTAATAGACACCATAGTCGTTAGCTAACTAAAATTATTACAATAATAACGTGAAGACCGTCTAAAATCACTTTGTCATAACTAGAACCTGACACCAAATAATGAAAGGATGGTTTTTATAGCGTAGTATTTTTCATCTTGCGTAAGTCTGCTGGGCCAAAAGCATGTTCAAATGTTTTGGTGACGGATTTTAGGTTGAATTTAAATAATATCTAAACCATTTACAATAGGCATAGGTACATCTTTTTGAGTGTTGTTTCATTATACGGGCCTGAAATTGCGACTGTCGCCAGCATTACGACAGAATAATAATGTAGTTCGGTATTAAACTGAATCCAACACGGGTAATTATCAACGAGCGCGGTGGGTGGCGAGGTGACGACGTTTATAACGGGTGTTATAGGAAAGTCGATATCTTGCTTGTGGTTGTGTCGACAGTGTCATGTCACTCATGTTGGATATCAACAGCTAGCCGTTCGCAAATGTATCAGGTGGCACATAATACTTACACCTAGATATCCTAATCTTTTGTATCTACTACTATTGTTACTTTTCATAGTTATTTCTTGCTGAACACATGGCCTGGCAGTAGCTTGGATTTCAGGTTAAAGAAACTATACTATCTCAAAAGAAAAGTCACATTTGTCTACCTAATAAAAAGAGGTTAGCTAGCTATTAATCTTCATTGCAACAACTACAATTAATGTTTGGGTGACGTTTGCTTTCCCTTTCGGCCTGATCATCACTCCATCATAATATTCTATCGCCTTCGCGGCTTCGTCGTTGTGGATTTAAAAGAAAACTACTGCCGTGCAAAAAGTGTTTGATCAAAGTACCTGCCTACTTTAAGTTTTCAAACTTATCGCAGTTAAAAATAAAATGTTCTTACCTTGGCGACGAGTTTCCCGTCGTCCCCAATGAGGAACTCCTCCAAGCCGAAGACGAGAGGCGACGCGTTCCCGAGATGGAAGATCCTGGAGGAGGTCCCGCGAGTCACGCGGAACTCAATCGTCTTCGCCATCAGCACGTTCGTGATCATGTACACGGACTTCTTGCCTTGCAGGTCTGCAACAATGACATTCAGGTCAGTGTTATTATACACCATTAGCGGCCGCCTGCTACCTACTTCGTACGCGTGGATCCCGTTTTACCCCCTTAGGGGTACTAAGAGCTCCTACGTTCGAAAAAGAACCTCCATGCAAAATTTGAGACTCCTAGCACTTGTATTTCTGAGATTTCAGTCAGTCAGTGACCTTTCGCTTTTATATTATCATCGTCAGGTCATTTAGCCCCCACAGGAGATGGAAGCATTTGACCTAAATGGGACTAAATTGGTCAGGAAAAGAAGCCAGATGTTCGCATATTTGTCCCTTATTCGTCTTGTACGAAATCCATGGGAAGGGGTGATCGTAACTCCTAGAATAGGACCATAAAGCTACACCAAGAGAACTTCTTAATGAGTGCGCGGGTTTGGTACAGCCGAGCTGACATCAAGATTATAGTACCTAATAATAACCCTCCTGGCACAGTCAGGTAAAAAAGTGCTACTTTATAATCTGATGTGCTGTGGGTGGACGATAAGTAAAAACGATACTTGCGTGCGCCATAAACCAAGGGTCAATGTTCCAAGATTCAAATGAAATCACGATCTTGGGCAAATGAGTGTTTAAAGAGTTTTAATGTTCTGTTAAACAAAGTTGCACTGGGTTTGATTTGGGGTTTAGGAAAGAAAACTTTCTTTCGAATGAAAGCAGCTAGTTACCATCTCACTTAGCAACCATGAACTTTGTCGTGTTACATTATCGTCCTCATCCGTTCAACTAGTTTTTTTAAATACTAGTTTGGCCATTGATATTGAATGACTCAGAGTCACGATTACAGCACATGCTAGTCTACCAGACAATGAAATAGACTACATTGAACGATCACGCCTAAAATGAATGACAGGCAACCGTTACAAAGTTTTCCTTGTATTTTTCCCCAAACATAAGTTGAATGGAGTTGATGGATGTACATCTATGGCTTTATTATGCAATAAAAGCCAACTGAAGTGTTTTTCGTCTAAAGGCAAACATGTTTATAAGAATTTTAAAAGAAAAAATAAATTTTTAGGTGCAAGTTTGTCTCTTGACTATTCTCCTGATACTATGAGCCTATCAAAAGTTCTGAACTATAAATTAAATTGTACCTATTTGGTTTTCGCAGAATTTCTGAGCGAGGTTGACGCAGAATGTGCACTTTACAAAATGCACACAGTATAGAGAAGCGCGTATTTTGAACTAATCAACTGCATCAAAATTACAGAGAACTACATAGATCATTTACAATGAATAGTGTAAAAACTTGAACTTACGCTTATTTTTCTCCACATCCAAGTAGATGTTGTTCACAAAGTTCTTGTCCTTGGGAACAGCAGTACGGGAGAAGTTGATCATGATCACTCTCACTTTGTTCTTGATCGCTTCGTCTTGCAATGTGATCTGTGAAGTGAGGATTAACATAAATATCACGAGTGCTTCAATGTTAACCTTTTGAGGGCCATAAGTACCTACTGTATTTTGTACACTGTATTTTTTCCACCAACTTCATATATTTTTAACCAACTTCAAAAGGCAATGAATAATATAAACATAACCTGTACAAATGAATAATAATAAACAGACAGTGTACATGCATGCACATAATTTTAAATATTTAACAGCAAAAACTATGTGAAATAAAGTTTAGTTAAATTTTTATTAATGAAACTTGTGGTAAACTGATTGTGTCCTTGGGTGATATATCTAATCAGAGGTTTCCTGCTTGTTGCATCATATAAATTATAAAATTCATGCATAATTAAATAATTTCTGTATGTTCAGACAATCTGAATACGATATTATTTTATTTATACAGAGTGTTAGGTAAATGGGTATATGAGCCGACACTAGCCCATGTTAACATGGTCATATAAATGGTATGGTGAAGTCAGAAAATTGATATCTTCATTTTAATTATTTTATTTTTCATACAAATCGAATTTTATAAAAAATAATTTTGTATGAAAATTAAAAAAATTAAAATGATGATATCAAATTTCTGACTTCACCATACCATTTATATGACCATGTTAACATGGGCCAGTGTCAGCTCATATACCCATTTACCTAACACCCTGTATTTATACAGGGTGTAAAATTATGCTTTAGCATAATTTCCCATGACATGCAATTTCTTGGTAAATATTGTATTCATAACTCATGATGAGTTCTTGTGAAACAAAAGCCCCCTTATTGCAAAAAAGTTAAAACCAGGAGAACACTGATTTTCTTCAAATTCCTTTTCAAATTCACTTTTTTTTTAATCAAACTATTGCACATTAAGTGGTTTACATGCCATGATTTACATTTCAACCAGATTCTAACTTTTTGTAATAAGGGGAAGTAGTTTTGGTAGGAATATTCATTTCTAGAATAATTCTGGTTCATAGAATTTGTTGGTTCAGAAAATTTGTTGCATTATGCTATTATACTTCTGTTTAAGAGCGCACCTTCTTTTATAGACTGTTTTGTAACGCTTGGGCTCGGCCGGAGTTTTGCACCTCACTCAGTTTACCCCACAACAAAATTATCACTCAGTCCTACTGGCACTCGCCGGAACGTAACGTCGTCTTACAATAATTATACATCAGTGCATATTCGCCGTGTTTGCTACGATATCCGTCATTTTAATTTCTTATTAACTATTTATTTTGTGCAGAAGTGGTATAAATATAGCATAACGAAGTTGTGTTTTTTAAACATGAAAAGAAGTGATGTATTTACTAAATTGAAAATAACTTTTAATGGTGATGAATGCGATCAATTTGTTACATTATACTTTAAATTTAGAGTTTTTATGTTTGACGTAATTCGAAATGGCGAATAATAATCTACATATTTATTACCAAAATGTTCGAGGTCTTAGGACTAAATGTTACGATTTGAGACTTAGCATTTTGAATAACGATTACGACGTAATTATTTTGACGGAATCTTGGTTGCACGGTGGTATCTTTGAAGGTGAGTTGTGTGACGACAGGTATGATGTTTTTAGGGCCGACCGGGATTTGAATGCCAGTGGTAAGTGTACCGGTGGTGGAGTAGTGATAATGATACGACGCACACTGGGTGCTATGTCTCGTGATCTAAACGTCATAGCCCCAACTGAATTACTGTGGGTTACAGTGCCGTCGCAGTCCATTTCTAAGCCTAACTTGCATTTTTGTGCGGTGTACATACCCCCCAATATGTGTCAGATACCCTCGGATTTGAAAACGATTAAAAATACGGTTAAAAACGTAATCGATCTCTGTCCCGAAGATAATCTTGTATTACTGGGTGATTTTAATCTGCCATGCTTATCTTGGAGCCAGAATGGATACTCAGTTTTAAAAAAAGGGTCGGTTGAGGTTCAAGAGGCTAGTTTGGAACTTATGGAAACAGTTGCGTATTGTGGATTAAAACAATATAACGTTCTAAAAAATTCTCATGGTAACACATTAGATCTTGTGTTTTCCAATCTTCCAATACGTGTTGAATCTGGGTTCACACCACTCTTGAAGGAGGATCGCGCACACCCATCTATTTATTGCTCACTTCTGGACTTAAATATCGCACCTTTGCGAGAGGCTCCCGCAGCAAAGCGGAATTTCAATATAGCATGCTATGATAACGTAAATAAATATTTTCAGGAACAGGACTGGCAATCTCTTTTGTGTACAGGCACTATCGACGAGGCTGTCGATGTTTTCTATGATGTCATAAATAGGGAATGCAAAACCGGTTAATCGGAAACCGAAAAATCGGAAAAACCGCCCTTTTTCGACGAATTCTAAAACCGGTTTTAAAAATCGAAACCCGGATTTAAATCGGTTATTCTATCTGTAGTACATACACGTAACCAATTCCATAAATAAGCAATATCATTTTATTATAATAGGCCAATAGAATTAAACACAAAAATGAATTAAATCGGAAATACACTCGCGAGCAAAAGTATGGAATCACTTACATGAAGTTGTTTCCACGCGATCTTGTGTACTAACGAATTTGTTAGTAACAAAAAAAGTAGCACCATTTTAAAGATTCAACTTTTAACTTTAAATTGATACCAAATTAATTTAAATCACACCGGTATTTANATCACTTGTCTAGGAGGGCTAATTTTAGTCTAAGGGAGGGGAGCTTAGATTACATTACAGGAAACGCACAATATAATAAAAGAAAATAATGTAAGTAGCTGAACCTTTTTGCTATTGAGCACAATGAAAATTTAACACAATTTAGCCGATTTGTTTATTTTCACAATCGATTCAAAATGTCTATGATGAGGCGGAACGTCACTATTCGTGCAATCCTATCAATGAAGTACGACATTTTCTGGTGCAGATTTTATCGCCATAAATTATGAAACTTGATAGTCATGGATTTGACTGACAGCTGTCCGTCAAATTCCCGCCCCGCACCCCGCACTGTACATATTTTGTTCGCGATGTCTGTTCTATACGTAGTAATATTACTTCAATGGTCAAATTGGCTGACATGTTTATCGTATAGTACAGTCCACTATGAAAATTAGCTGTGGTTTGTTTCAACTACCAACTTTAAATTTTTTTGTCACTTTCTAAGTGTTGAATTTTATGGAATT